GGGCCGCCCTCAAGGGGGTGGTAAAAAATACGGCAGCGGGATAATTGTTCGGTAGGTGCGCAACAGACGCGAGCACAAAACATACTGCACACCTTACACTGTCAAAAATATTGTGCACCAAAGTACACCAAATGGAAGGCGTGGGAGGTATGAGGAGGTATACGTGATCGTTGTACTTTTATTCACTGTAACTGCCCATAAAAGACTATGTTTAAAGATACTGTACTTTGTATGTTTTACCTTACTCGGCGCGATTACATCAATTTGACCAAAAGTGCGTGCAGTGACTTTAACAGACAGTGCTGTGCTGCGTGTACTGCAATTACAAAAAAATCGCAGAAAATATTTGCAGTTTGGCGTGACGGGACCCGCGTGACGGGACCCGCGTGACGGCTGGGCCATTATGCGCGCCGCCACCAGGAGGCAAGCCGGATTAAAATGTGCCGTCCACGCGGCTCATTCAAACAACGGCGCCAACACATAGACACACGACACACACACACGCACGCAGACAGACAGAAAAAATCCCTGGGTGTGCTACACACACACACACAGCGATGCACAAGTAAATAAAATGAAAAGAAAACTGCAGGTCCGAGTGAAAAGGAGCCGGAGGAAATAAAATAACTTTAACTAGGTTAAAAACGGGCGTGTCGCACTACAATGGGGGCGACAAATTGTATGCCGCACAGAGGAGCTCGCAGCGGATGCGCACAGGGCGCCTGCTGCTGCACTTGCAAATTAAAAAGGCACCCGCTGGGGGAGCGGGTTCTGGGAAAACAAGCCTGTTTTAATTTTTATTTGGACTTAATTTAAGCCATTAATGGATGTTGAGGGTTGGTAGAAACTTACGGTTTTACCTTTTCGTAGGTTGGTAGTCTAGAACCATTATGTATGTACGTTCAGTGCGTCACTCGCCCTACAATTAACGTTGAAATTTCACAGTTTAACAGTCTTGTCCTTTTTTCCATTTCTTTACAGTGCTGGAATGCATCGTCCAAGCATGTGTGTAAAATTCCATTTTAAAGGATGAAAGTTTGTGGTAGGAAAATATAGCATAGTAAAGATTTGGAAGATCTTTTTATTTTTAGGGGGGGGGGGGGGCTAGACTGATGGCTAAAACGAAATGTGCAGAGTTTATGTTTCGTTTCTTTGTGTGCGTGTGGGACGCACCGCGAGCACTCGCAGCAGCGTTGTTGCCGCGCTGAGTGGCAATCAACGCGGTCCGAACTAAGTGCCGTGCAATCTCCCGCGGCTACACTGCGAAAAAAAAAAATGTGCGCATTTGCCGGCAATGAGTAGAGTAGACATACGGGCAGTTTGTCGCGGTGGCAGCCTGAGCCTGGGCCGATAGTTCCACGGCGATGGACACGGTGAAAACAAGCTCTCATTTTTTGAGAGAAAAGGGAAAACTTTGAGGAAGTTCCTTAGTTTAAAGGAAGCTCCTCAGATTTTGAGTTAGTCTCCGAAAAAAAAGTGGAATTTCTTGTCATTCTTTGAGGAGCTTCCTCAAAATCTGAGGCGAGATCTGAGGAGTTTTCCAAAAACATGGGGAGTCTTCAAGGTTTTCCCGTTTTCCTCAAAAACCGAGACATTGTTTTTACCTTGGAAGTAACTTCGTGTCGGAGCGTCCGTTTAAATGAGCAGGAGTTATCAGCTGATTTGAGCGACAGGCTCGTGGAGTGAGCGTGGGAGCGAGGGAGAGAGGGAGGGAGAGAGAGAGGGGGGAGGGTGGAGAAGTGGAGGGGGATCGCGAAGACACGTCTTTTATGGGGCGTCCATTGTTTCTAGTGCAGCAGTCTCGGACCAGGCGACCAGGCCGGAAGGAAGGAGGGAGGAGGGGTAGGGGGGGCAGGCAGGGGG